GGAGCTGGCGCCGCCGCCCGCGCAGCCCACGCGGGAGGGGGTCGCGCCGCGTGGCCTTGGTGGCGCGTGGGGCCCATGGATATCAGCGCACCAGTGGTGTAGTGGTATCATGCAAGATTCCCATTCTTGCGACCCGGGTTCGATTCCCGGCTGGTGCAACTCCACCGACTTGTACCTACACCTAGAAGCACTTGTCTGTGCTCTGACGTACTCTAAATGAGACTAAAGCTGTGTAAATAATGCGGTGTAAGGGTTTTTTGCCTCTTTTTCGCCCCCAGGCCTCCCGCTGTTGCAGCCACAGCAGGATGCGGGGGACCCCCGGCCCAGCATCAGCCTGCCCCCTGCCAGCCCTGCCCCAGAGCTCCGCGGCTCCCCGGGGTTGGAGGGCAGCAGGGGGTTTAGGTGCCCTTTCCCCCTTGTCGAGGTCTTCTCTGTTGCCTTTTCTGCTCTCTCCCTCCTCCCCCTTTTACACAGACACAGCCCGAGGGTACCGCTGCCCTCAGCAGCGGCAGGAATGGCTGCTAGAAGCTCCCCTGTGTGCCAGGATGGGACATGGATCGCTTCTCTGCAAGGTTCAAGTTTTTGGCTATTTCTGAGTACTTTTCCATGAAAAAAAAAATCTTTCTTCAGATATCCACTCCTTCCAGAGAGCTCCGGGGCTGGGCGTCAATCCCACTCCCTGTACAGGTGTTGGGGCCGGGTATTCATGCCAAGACCTCCCCGTGTTGCTCAGCACATGGGGTGCGTGTGGGGCTGGGGGGCCTTCTCCACCCCCTCCTCTTTGGGCTCTCCAGCCTTCCCTCGACACGGCTTGTCCCCTGTGCAAAAAGGAAGCGAGCGACTCTGCAGGGAGAGGGAGACTGTCCCCCTCGAAATGGGCTTCCCCAGTGCCCAGCTGCCCTGAAGGTGCCCCAGGGCATCAGCTCCGTCCTGCAGGAGGGCTTAGCGGAGCCTGATTAAGCTGAGCCGAAAATCAGGAGCGAGACTTGTCCCTGTGAGGAGCCTGCTGGACACCAGGCCCTGGCCATGTCAGCTCGCCGCGGCAGAGAGTGGGTGGCAAGTGGGCTCCGGTGTCCCCCCAGTTACCCAAACCAGGGTGCAGGCACCTACTCAAGGTCTCATTAAACATAACATATATACACCCGTATAAACCATACACATCCATATAAACCATACATATCCATATAAACCATGCATATAATTACAAAACATACATTCATATAAAACACATACCTCCATATAAAACATAAAAGCTCTGAGGTGTTTATAAATAGCCAGTAAAAAAAAAAAAAATCCCTATTTCTCTCAACAGCAAGGAGCAGGGAAGGGGTTTGCCGAAGGTCACTGGGGATGTCGGGGCAGCGTGGGAGCCCGGCGCTGCGGGAGGGAAGAGGTGGAAGGCAGCGGTGAGAGCCACGGGAAAGCACCAACCGCGTCCCGGAAAAATAATATTTGCAATGTGTGACGACTCTGTAAAAAATGCCTAAACAGGATTAGAGGCTTTCACGGAAATTTATCTCTGAAGTAAGCCAGTAAGAGGCACATAAAAGCTTTCAGCCCTTTCTGAAAATAGTCCTTGAGCGTCTGCGTTTTCCCTGCCAGAGCCCCCAGAGATGCACGGGGACTCGTGGGGGA